TGCCAAGGATAATTTTGTAATTTTTTCAATATTAGTCATGTAGTAACGGGTAATTAATCAAAAAGTCTCTCATAATCAAACCTAATCTTGAGAAATGCTACGATCTCGGTATCATCCCGTCGGGTGTTTTAACCGTTAGATCCACATGTAGTTAGATAAGATAGAGGATCCAACGGTTAAAGCACCCGACGAGATGGTACCGTAATAGGATCGTAGCATTTCTGCCTAATCTTATAGCACTATTGACTACACTATAATTTTTTTTCACAATGTGAGCTTCTTGATTAATTTCTCTTAGGCAACCTACTATCAGGTCTCTTATGGCCATATTTTTTACAGTTTAAACAATTTTCAAACATTGCTTCCTTAAATTTTGTTTCATTGGCGTCATAGTGCCTTGACAGTATTGCAGTCATTTTTATGTGTGCTTTCACTGTGCTCAACAATATTGACCTATCTTATCATTTTTATGTGTACTTTTACTATGGTCAACAATATTGGTCTTCGTCAGAAAAGAATTAATTATTCTATTTCTACAGTTTGCTTTCTTCAATACAAAGCTTAACAACAAGTTTTCCAACCGTCATCTTATATTTTTATTCAATAAATAATTTTAAAATCTTTTCCACTAGGTGGAAGCTTTGCAATTATTGCAGCCACCTAGAATGTTTTATTGATCACCACCTGTTTAGCAAAGATTTGGTGGGCAATGGATAACCGAGTTACCCGACTCGGGTCGATCTCGAAGGAAGGCTATTCGGAGCTTCACTTACTAGTTGATTGTCCAAATCACAAAAAAAAAGTCCTAAACATTCTAAGCAATTGGATTGGAGGTTTGATTATCACTAAATGAGCACTTGAAAACGAGCAATTAACTAAGGGCAATATCAAATCACGATCAAGTAGCAAACTAGATCATCAGAGTCTCATGCCATAACCATAACGAGATGATAATCAATCGACATAAGAAATAAACGAGCTATGAGCATTAGATTGCTAACCCTAATCTCTAACCCTAAGTGATTAAGCCCTAATCGGGTCTTAATCCTTAAACGAGATCAACAAGCAATTAACTCCTCTATCTACTCAAGCAAGCAATCAAGTCTCGACTTTGCCACCATTATCAATCAAATTCAAATTTACCCTAATCTAGACAAAACATAAACATAAGCTAGTTCCCAAAAGGGAAAAATGAAATAACGAGAGTTGGATCCTTAAATACAAAGGCTAAAAAATATTTATACTCTAGCCCAAACACACACTAGAAAAACACACATTAAGTAAAACACTCCCGAGCTCGCCATGACTTCTGCGAGCTCGCCAGAGGTGATGTGCATGGGCGCATGCACTCTTGAGCATGCCGAGGGAGTCGCGGGCACGCGAGTGTGCTGATGGAGGGACTCTCGAGCTTGTCGTCGGCTCCGCGGGCGTGCGAGTGAGGGGGCTGCTTGGGCGCGGGACTCTCGAGCTCGACATCGGCTCTGCGGGCTCGCGAGTGAGGGGGCTGATTCGCTCCTTGGCACTCTCGAGCTCTCCACTCCTTTCGCGGGCGCGCGAGTGGGTCATGCAGCACGGGCGCGAGTTGAGCATGCGCGTGCGGGCGTTCTCGACCTCACCAGGCCTTCCGCGAGCGCGCGAGTCATGATGGCACAGCTGCGAACTACGACTAAGGCTAATGGCTCGACACGTCTCGGAATTGACTCAAAACTCTTTGAAGGCTCGTCTCTCAGAATTCAGTTTGACTCGACTCTTCATCCTTGGGATAAATCTGAAAACATATCAAAAGCACGGAAAAGTACGCTAAAATATAAAATAAAAGAGAAGACACAAAAACACTCAAAAAACGATAAAATAGACCGGTCGACACTAAAACCAACCTAAAACCGACTCAATAACACAAATAAACACATAAAAATAAGCACATAAATATACCAAACACCACCATTCCCTCTGTAAGGATATCATGCAAGATTATTTAAAGCTCTTGCACTTGACTGATTACAATCTTCATATCAATCATATTGTATTATAGAAACCTAGAAAATAATATTTGGTCGCAACGTCTTCAAGTATATATATATTTTTTCTATGCAATGACTCTCATAGCTCGTTTGTTGTTTTGATAGAGCTGTACATGTTGTACAACGTATAGACCAAGTTGTTAATCACATAATTTATACGCAAGAAATTCGAGTAATTTCATGCTTCAAGCGCACTAATAGATTGAATATCCAAACTTTTATCCAAGTTTGGAGGATTTCCGTCAACAACCTCGTAAGGTTCAACAAGGTGAGATAAAATAATATTTTTTTGTTGCTAACGCTTGAAATCTAAAACCGTTCATTTTTTTTTTATTTATCAGCATCATTCACCGGAACATTTACAGAATGAAAAAGAAAAATTGTAGCAGAAGTGGTAGCCCCGGTATTTGTAGCAACACTAATAGTATTATTGCTCAACAACCATCTTTAATTGAAGCTTGTTGATAAACGGATTCAATCAACTATTTAAATGATGGATAAGACGGATTAAAGCGTGAAAAATGTGATTTTATTGATGAGATATGATCTAGTTTAAAGATACCACAAGTCGGTATTTCATACGAAATGTCGATTATTTATACAAGAGGTCGGTTTTTCTTTAGACCGAGGTGATAAATGCAGTATTGAATGTGCGGAAAAAAAAATCCTCGTATCTAATTTAATTCTGCTATTTATAGTAACTCTTGGCTCGTATTTTTTAGGAGATTCAGCGGCATTTGATGCGCTGTGACAGCATGGTTCAGCTTTTCAGTGAGTGGGCCCCTCGGTAATGATGCCTTTCACGTGGGCCGAGAGGTTTAATGGGCAAGCATTTAATGCGGTCGGCGACTGGTGACGTCAGTTTTCCAGGGTTACGACTTTGCCGAAGTCAGTCTTCTCCTTGAAGTTGTCCTACCTGTTTGGCTGACGCATTCCCTCTTTCCTCTATTTCTCAGTTTGCCCTTTGGAACAATACACGTGTCACCCGTCTGCCTCATGAGATGATTTTTATGTCAATAAATTCGTTTTAAGATTGTGTGAAACTTTATATGTGAAATAAAAATAAGATGATTAAATAACAATATACTGAGAAATTTGAAAACACAGTGTCTTTAAGACGGATTTACCCTCGACATGTGTTATATTTCCCAGGATACAACAAAGAACATAAATAAATTTAGCGAATTGAAACTATGCGTGGACTAATACTATAAAGAAAAGGGTGGAAATGCCTTTAAAATTCTTGTCTTTTATTTTTCTCTTCATGTGATTTTTTCTTTAGAAAAAAAGTTTATATATGCTTAAGATAAGAACATCCTAATTAATTTTTGCTTTTAAACAAGAATTGACAAAGTGAAAAGTCTTGCAACATTAAATGTTAAGTTACAAATTTGAAGTTGGAAGATGTGATTAAACACACATTTACAAAACCTAATGTTATGTTACAAATTTCATTCAACATTCTTCCAATGTTATAGACTAATGTATTATAATTCTAGATTCATCAAATGGTTTTGTAGAATGTAACTATAAATTTCTTATATTGTTTAACTTAATTGACAATTTGTTCACTTCTAATGATTTTATCAATTTTGAGTATATTTTAATGTTCATAGTTGTTAGCTCTTGTTAGCTCAGTCTATCATCTATACATGATTTACATATACATTTCTTTAGCCAATTATATGATACTTCCAATTTTTAAGTGAACTTTAGTTATTCCATAGAACTATCAAAGGCCGATTTGTTTAAGGCCCATTTGAATAAGAAGAAAACTGATCGGAACTCTTTTATATCACTCTTTAGAATATGAGCCCAATACATAACTCGTTTATCTCTTAAGCTTCTTGAATATCAGAGCAATATATGAGAACTCTTATTATGCGATTTCGTTACAGAACCATTTTGTTGGAATTTGTATTGTTAGATTAACTATTTCTAACAATTACATAATGATTTAACGATTACAAACTCGACGGAATGATTTTGTTACTAAAACCGTAATACTTTCCTCTTTTTTTTAATATGATCCCAATATATGACTAGACATGGCCAGGTGCCGGCCACGACCCGCCCGGCCCAACCCGAGTTGACGGGCCTCAAAACCATGGCCCGTGACCAGCCCAAAAAAATCAATGGGCCGGTTTGCCGGCCCGACGGGTCACGGCCGGGACGGCCCTTAAGGAATAAAAAGAAAATTACATTGTGGTGTACCGTCCGGCCTGACCCGGCTCAGACCGGCGGTTCAAAAAAATTTATGGCCTGGAACCGAATCGCTGCCCTACGGGTCGGTTCAACGAACCGGCTCTAAAAGGCCGGTTCATGGCTGGTTCGAGACCAGTTCACCGGCCGGTCCGGCCCGTGGCCATCTCATGACAAATCCATCTCGTAACCAGGCGCATTTAAGCTTAAAATTTGTTCTCTGACACCCTTACGTTCAACCTGTCTCCATCTTCTTCGGCAACTCGAAGGTTAGGCGTCGAGCTCTCTGTCTAACTCACAAATACTAACACAGGTTCAGTAGATTTTCCCTTGATAATTTTTCCTTTTTCTTGTCCTGATTGGAGTATATGAGAATTTAATCTAGGGTTTTGAGCTGAGTTACTATTCTACTACTTTATTTTAGATTACTAATTTTACTTCCCTTTTTTTTTTCAAATTCAAATTGTATCGAGATTTCTGGTAAATTTTACTTTTAGATATGGTTCACAACTCTATGATTTGCCTGTGATGTAGGTATCTATTTCAGCTCAGTCCCTAGAGTTTTTATTATACTCATATCATTCTTTGAACTGATTTAATTTGCCCTTGATTGTGACTAGTTTATTGTTTTTTTCTAGCATGTTAAAAAGACTTTTTTATGGATTATCTGCTTTCAATTTTGATTCACAGACTAGCAATGCAATTATGCAGATTAAAAGACTGAACCCTAGAATTATCTTGCTTGATTTTTCGTTGTAGGCCCTTCACTCGGAAACAATGGTCGAAACACTCTTTGAAGATATCATTCGGGTCGACGCACTAGACCCAGATGGCAAAAAGTTTGATAAGGGTACGGTTTTCGTGAGCTCTCATTCTTTATGCGCTCTTTGTTGTTTCGGATGTGTGTTTTGGGTGTATGGGCATAATGAGTACTGAGTAATGGAGATGCAGATATGGCATGGAAAAAAGGATATCAAAACTATATGGAGTAGATGAAATGATGAATGTGATCAAATGTCTTTCTGAGCAACTTCCTTGATAAAGTTGCAAAATTGATCGAAAACTATTGAACTTGTTCCGAATTTTGCACAGCTTATTCATGACCTATAAAATCATACTGTTACAGGCCAATGACTTCAAATGGGCCAATGTTGTTTCTGATATTGAATATTATGGTGGGCACCTTAATATTTCCTAAACAGGTTGGATCAGTAATTTTATTAGGATAAGATTTTGTTGACTGTATCACCTTTTTTTTTTTCATTTTTCTTTATGCACGTAAGTGGCCGTGGATGAATCTGTGATGCCAAATTACTAGCACTAATTAATTAATGAATGTACCATGTTTGATTGTTTTCCTAGTAACTTAAGTTCCGTTATAAACTTTAAATGGAATTAGTATCGTTTCACTGAAAATGGTAGTTGTACAATGACTACCTACGTTTAGAAAATACTAAAGCATATGTTTTGTCCTGCAACGTAAAAAAAAAATAATAAAATAAAATAAAAATAAAAAAGAATCGAATAATTCCAGAAAGGTTGATGTTATGAATTTTATATGTCTAAAGTTTAAAATATCTATATGCGAGTCTAAGTGGTGGTTACTTGCCACCGACTGGTGTGTACTCTCTTCTTTGGAATTTCTGTTATTGCTTTCGTGTTTCGTTTTACGACATGCGAAAATTTTAGGTTTTTATTTAATGTTTTCCATTCTAGGACATGTTCTGATGTCTAATTTATAATACTTTTTATCCAGTGTCCCGCATTTCTGCTAGGAGTGAGCAGTTTGATATGCTTGTGAACCTTGATGTCAATACCGAGATCTATCCCATGCATGTTGGAGAGAAGTTCATGATGGTAGTAGCATCCACTTTGAACTTGGATGGAACACCAGACAGTGGTTATTATGCACCGGTAATAACCATGTGCAGTTGTAAATCTGCCTTTTACTGCATTTTAATAGAATATTTCATTTAAATGCCCCTATATTTAATTGGCGTTGTGGGTGCTTTCATAATACATGAGCTAGCTACCTGTGGCTCGTATATACTGGTCATACTAAGGTTCATATGACATGTGAATTGACTGAACTAATTCCATCTTAGCATAGAAACCCATGACCACATTTTAGAATCATTAAATTTTGTAGCTCCATTTTCAAGTGGCAACTATTACATGCAGCAATGGAAATAGAAGAAGTATAAGTAAATTTGGACTTCGCTATTTGTTTGTCTGACTAAACTTGATCAGTCCTGTAGTTGATGAACAAATAGTCCCAACTCTCCCTTCTGTAAGGCGCTCTTTTGATTTTAACAGATGCATGAGTAAATGTGAGGCTCTATTATCCGTGCCATCAAAGCTTGCTGTCTGTATGACATATTGATATCCTTTTCTTGATCACATGAACATGCTTTTATAAGATTTTATTTAATAATTGCTATAATTTTTAACGTGCCTTGTTTGTTTCACAAGACTTTTCATCCTAGTCATCTTGTTTTACATGCCATGTTTGTTTCATGAGACGCATACATCCTACTCATTACTTCTCCGTTTGATACTGGTGGACTTACTTGGACACTTCTATTGATCTTCTAAATTTGTTGATTGTCTAATGTGAAAGAATATGGTTAGTATTCTAAATTTTTCTGTTATATTCCTAATGCTTTGCGAAGGTTCACAACTATATAACCCTTTTCAGTAGCTAGTTCCCCCAAAATTAAATCCTAACAGTCTAGCTGTGATATTTTTGTGTCAGCAAACATTTTTAAAAAATTTCCCATTTATGTATCCTAACCGTTTTGCGACCTTGGAACAAGATTACAACGACTTTGTGTTTTTGGGGTGTGTGTGAGAAGGATGAAAGTTGTTAAATGTAACGTGCTGAATTCATTTGCATGAATATAGTTCGACTGCACGAATATTTTTGTTTCCTTATGATGCCGGTGCTTGTGCAATAGCTTTAACTGTCGGTCCTTTTCTTATTCGTAATATGATTTCAGGGAAACATGAAATCACTTGCGGACAAGTTTGACTATGTCATGCAAGGGAAACTGTACAGAATCTCAGAGTAGTCGAGAGAAAAGCAAGTTAAAGCGTATGTTTCTAGACCTAGGCAACTTTATTCTAGCGTACTTTATTATATTTCTTTCTCATGCTGCCATCTTTTTTTTGTTTTTTTCGAATCGTCTCCAGGATTATATATATGTATCGTTTCGTGGGCTCCTGATGATGCTTAAGGGCGATCCCTCCATTGCTGCTAGATTTGAGCTTGACCGGAGGTTGTTCATACTCCTTAGGAAAGTCTGATGTACAAATGTATTGTATGTTGGGCTTTCTAAAAACAAACCTATTAAGATAATTGATATGGTTCTTGATTGTCCGTTATTAGTCATACAACAAGAGTAACAACCGTTCATGTAAAAAAATGAGAATCACTTTAGTCAGAGTTTTTTATAACATATATTTTTATAACATGTATTTTTTAGACTATAAAAATTATTAAAAAAATAGTGATGGAGTTTTACGAGTTCGAGTTTTTGAAAGATGAGTCAACTATCAATTAATACTTGACTTGAAAGATATGAGTCGATTATTAATTTGAGATTTAAAAGATAAGAAACTATCAATTATGTGTCTGAATTAAAATTTATCAATTCATGGTTGAACTATTTTAAACTACCGTTTTAAGATTCGTGACTATAATTGTAAAAAAATAAATAAAAATAAAAAATCAAACCATAAATAAAAACTTAAAATGATATAAAAAATATGAACAAATTTTTGTATGTCACATAATTTTAAAAAAATATAAAACTTATAAATAAAGTTATTCCAATATAAATGAAGAATATAAAAGTAACTTATTTTTTTAGAGATTTCTACTAATAATTTCAAATCACTTGGTACCAAAATTGATAGATTTTATGTTTCAAGTCTCGAATTAATAGTTAAGCTATCTTTCGAGTCTGAACTTAATATAAATTAAAGTCTTAATTTATAGTTTTAGATCTTTTGGATTGATAGATTGCCTAGATGGATAAATCTCAATCAATAGTTTTATAAATAAATAAAATCAATTTAAATAATATAAATTTATTTGTTTATAATAAAAAAAAGGTGCGATCGTGTACTAGTCACGTAACAATGATACCCAAAAGTTGATAAATTGCAAATTTAATTTTTCTCCAAAGGTATTTATTATACATTGAAACATATCAGTACAAAATCTTCATTAATATTTCCTTTTTCTTTACAAAATTTCACTAGCTTATTTTATGGACAACGTGGGACCACACGAAACCTCAATAAAGTGCCGTTTGAAAGGATGATTAGGATTTAATTATACTAGTTTTTAGTCAATAATTGAAGTCCAGCAAAATATCACTAGAAAATAAAAGGGTACATAAACGTTAAATACTATAAATTAAATATTCAACGGAAATGCCCTAAATTTACTCGTCAAACTCAAAATGTAATCTTTCACTCCTGAAGTATATAATAAATTAATGTCAGTTTGGTGGATTTATTCCAAAATTGTTGTTTCATCTAATATTCAACTCATTAAAATTAAAATTCAAATTAAGAAATCATTAAAAATATTACATTTTTTATTTCATAATAATTTTTATTTGAGTAATGCTATAGGTACATAATATTGTACGTAAGGATATACATAACACTCACACTGAGTGAGACCCACCAAAAATTAAAAAAAAAAATCAATTGAACCAAACTCTATGTGAGTGTTATGTACATATATCTATGTACATCCATTGTGTACTTGTAGCATTCATTATTTTACATCATATCATTATTGGGAGATAGATACGAGTCTCGTTACAGAACTATTTTGTCGAAATTTGTAACCGTTAAATTAAATATTTCCGACGATTACATGATAATTTAACTTTACAAATCCGACGAAATAGTTTCGTAAGATGAACGTAACATTTTCCATTATTATTATTATATATTTTCATGTTTACCTTTTGCAAATTCGAAAATATCTCATTACTCAAATCCCGCCTCGTTTCTCTCGGATTTGGTTAAATTGAACAACAAAAAGAAGATTGAAAATGTACCAATAAACATCTGTGCCTCACTTTCACTTTCTTCTACATCTGAAAAACCCTCCTCGGACAAGGAACCGCCACCCGCATTTTTCGTAGTTCCACCAATGGCGAACGCGACACCTCAATTGCCCCTCGACGCCGACGGCGCGTGCATGCTCTGCAAGGTGAAGCCGACGGAGGAGGCGACTCTGACGTGCGCCATGTGCGCCACGCCGTGGCACGTCGATTGCCTATCCGTTCTCCCGGAGACCATGTCCTCGGCGATTAGTTTCGAGTGCCCCGATTGCTCCGGAGACGGGCTCGCCGGAGGACCGGCTCCGTTGGATCTGGAAAAGCAGGTTCTTTTCACGAAGATCCGAGAAATAGAGGCGGATGTGTCCCTGTCGGAGAGGGAGAAGGCGAGGAGAAGGCAGGAGCTTTTGAGTGGAAATGTAAATGGGGAAAACGGTGATGTGAAAGAGGAGAAGGAGAACGATGTGCTGGGAGTGCTCGGAGATAGCTTCAAGTGTTGCTATTGCATGGAGCTTCCTGAACGGCCTGTGACGGTATGAATTTCGGTTTTCGCCTCTCTGAATATTGGGTTTCTCTTCACTGGAATCTGTTGGCTAGTTTGAATTAACTAATTCATAGTGTTTGATGGGTTGTAATTGATGTTCATCGCCCTATGTGGTTTTGGTTGCCAGTAGGTACACCCTTATGTTTATAGTGCTTGGTTTTTGAATGTGACATACTGAATTGGCAAATGATTTCCCATGAGGTTCTATTATTGAGACATGCTGGTATAATGGTGAGGATAGTGAATTTGTATGTGATGTGACATTATGAACCATATCGACCTGTTTATGGTTTGGTTGTGATTACACTCTTTTATGTCTGGTGTTGGGTTTTTGAATGTGATTTTGTAACCTTAATTGGTAACTGATTTCCTTTAAGGTTGGTTCTTGTTACTTGTTGATATAATGACTCGGATAGTGAATTTATATGTGATCTGTCTTTATGAAACCTATTGCGCTGTTTGAATTATCTTTAAGCATTTGAAAATCCATATCATCTAGCACATTCATTTCATGATTTCTGCACACTCTTTTAAAAGTTTGAATAGTGAATTTTAAATATGACATTACGTAAAAATTCCATCAGTGACCTGTTTTGCTTTGTTTGAAATATTATAAGTTTTTGGTAACTTGTATTGTTATATTGTTATATGTGAACTATGATGTGTATACTTTCACTTATGTGGTGCTTATTCTGTGATTTTTCATTCCAAAATTGTAATTTATTTCCAGTGATGATTGCATGTGTTCTTTGGAAGTTGGAGTAGTGAATGTTAAATGTGATTCAACAGTAAGTTTTGTCTGTTGAATTTACTTTAATTGAATCGTCACAAGTAGCTTACTGTTTGTATTTTTCTATTACAATGTTTGAATTTGTAAGTGATTATATTCTCACTGTATTGGTGCTCACTTTGAGCATGAAAGTTTCTCTTCTGAAATGGTAATTTTTCTCACAATGATTGCCATGTGCTTGATTTATGGTAAGACTTCAGAGTAATGAACTTCAAACTAGTCCTAACACTAAAGTTCCTTACCGAATTCTTTTACCTGTCTGTATTGTTTTAACCATTTGATCCATCACCACGTGCAAACTTATGAAACAACTGATGGCTTTCATGTCACATATCTTGCATTGACCTTGACATTCTCTTTCTTTTCCAATTGCAGACACCATGTGGCCACAATTTCTGCTTAAAATGTTTCGAGAAATGGATGAAGCAAGGAAAGCGCAACTGTGCAAAGTGTCGGTGCAGCATTCCAGCAAAAATGGCATCTCAACCGCGCATCAACTCTGCCCTAGTGTCCGCCATACGTATGGCAAAACTGTCGAGATCAATAAGTTCTGGAGGGACTCAACAGGTTTACCGCTTTTTGCACAACCAAGACCGT